TCAGGGAGCCCCACACGAGCTGCCCCTTCCCTGCTCTGCTCTGCCCCAGCACCCAAAAGCTGAGCACATCTGCCCACAGCTGGATCAGCGATCTCAGAGGGAGGGCTGCATGGCAGGATTCAGCCTCACAGCACCTGGTGCTCAGCCTCCTGTCTTTGTCATCATCTCTCTCTCTGTGGTAGCAATAATAGCTTTATTTTTAACTGTGCTTCTCCCCAGAGAGGGTTTGCACAGCTTATGTACATATCTGGCTTGTGTAAGGATATTCTAGACAGTCATGAATTTTGAGCAGTTACTTTGGATGGAAATTACTGGCAGTGCAGACACCAAGAATGTGTATTTTGGATTCAAATATGTGTTAATTAAAAAGTGCCCTTTCCTTGATCAGGTCAGCTGATTTTTATGGCAATCCACCTTGCTGTCCCCAATCTTCAAACACATCCTCGACATTTCTGCATTCAGCATGCAGCATTTAGTAGGGCATGAAATCTTGGACCCATTTGCATTAGACAAGGGCCTGAAATTAAAATTCTAGTACCCACAGTTCTCAGTTTTGAGAAAGCTCAGCCCACACTGGGACTCAGTGTCCTGATCCCTCTGCAATAACTGGGTTAGAGTTAGAGAAATTAATGGAAAGACTTCAACTGACCTTAGAAGGAATATTTACACAAGATGTTCAAAGCTTTAAAATATTTATCTCCAAAACAGAGAACACAATTTAGAAGATCTGCTGAGACCACTTTACTGACCCACTCAGTCACTGGCTAGTATTTAAGCAGGACATTAAAAAATCAGCTCTTGCTCCAATTCTTATTAGCATATTCTTTCTTCTGAACACAAATAGCAAAAGAGATCATTACCTCATTAAATGTGCTGATGCAACATCACTTAATCAATCTCCCCATTTCTACAATTTGCTAGCCTAATGATCTAGGCAAGAAAACAAGGGAGGAAGTAAGGAGAGAGAAAGAGAAAAGATATAAACAAACAATTAAGGAAGGAAAACACTACTTTTCATTGTGGAAAATATCATGCTTTTTGTGATGTAGTTTTCAAAACACAAAAATTAACTCAAGATATGCAGCTACACCTGCACATAAAAGCCTAGCCAAGTCTCTCCACAGAAGAACAGACAATAAGTATGTAAGGTTTATGAAGCATATCATGTCCTAATTCACGTGAGAATGGTTGGCAGTACTAATGGGATTTTGTTACACAAACTGTGCTGATAAGGCATTGGAGCTTTAAACAGTTAGCAAGAGTATTTTTATGGCTGTCATGTTTTCCACACAAGGTATGCTGAACCTTTACTTCTGCTTGCAGCCCCACAAGCTGCCCACGTCCCTTACAGGGCTGCAGATCTCTTAAATAATCAACAATAAACAAGCAAGGGGAGGAACAAACCTGCCCTAGGAGAAATGCTGCAGCACCAGCTTTAGGAGCATCTCTGTATCCCTGTGAAACCAGGCTGACATTGAGGTCAGCTGTCAAATGTGCCCATGGAAGTGAAATTTTGCCAACTATTGCACTTGAGAAAACATGGTTTGTGTGCAAGTTTTCTGGGAAAGCTCATTAGCCAGTTATAGCCTCCACAGAAAGGAGCCACAGCTCCCCTTGTCTGAGTGCAGGGATTTTACTGGGACAGCTGAAAGGAACATTTACAGATCTGCTTCACACTTCAACACTAATGAGATTTTCCACTGGTATCAATAAATTCTCCTGCTCACAAGTTTAGCATTCCTTTGGCATGCATTGCCAGATAAATCCTTTATTGTCTTTCTGGTAGCTTGCCCAATTCCCACCAGGCAGATTTTTAAAACCCAAATCCTGCCTTACTGCTGGCTACTGCCTCTCTCACCTGATAAATTCAATTTACCACTTGATAGAATTAGGCAGTTGGTGGTCCTCAGCCCTTCCTTCAAACAGAAAAGAGATGTGTCTGGGAATCTACAGACCATCAACAGGTAGTAGGAAGAGCTGGGAGGTGCCATTGCATCCTTGCACCCATAATCCTTTTCTAAAATCCCATTGTGGAAGGATCCTGCAGAATAAACCCCTTGTGTGATTGATTTCAGGAGAGGGATGGTCACACTCAAAGGATGTTCACACTCACCTGCTGATGACCTCAAAGGGAAGAGTTCTGAACATGCACTGAGTGCAATGGGGCTGTTGGTATCCAAAAGCTGGCTATAAAAAAACAGTTGAGGTGATATTTCAGCTCTGAAATTTTAAGGTACAATCTGACTGAGCTTGTTTGTAATACCAGTGCTCCTAATTATACTTTAAAAAAAAAAAAAAGAAAAAGCTGTTGCCAAATAGCATTTGATGATTCAAGTGAAGAAGGCAGTAATTAATCCTGCAGGGACAACAGAGGACTAATTAGAAGCAGAGCAGAAATTTTGTTTTCCTTTAGAAAAAAAAATGCCTTTTTCCATGAGAGCTCAGATAAGACACCCAATTTACAAACTGAACTGTGGCCTCCAACTAATGGTCCTGGCAGCAGCCTTGGATGCAAGTGAATTCCCAATGATTAGTCAGAAAGTGGTTTTTTTTGGTTTTTTTTTTTTTTTTTTCTTTTTTCTAGGAAATAAAAGTGGGGACAGAGAAAAGAGGTGGAACATGTCAGGAAATTCTACTGAAAACTAGTCCAGAACAGAAAAGTGCCCACATGTCTTGGCATAGGACACGTGGAGAAGCTGAGCAGAGCTCTAGATTTGCCTGAGGAAATACATAGAAATTTTACTATCACTACATGGCACTGGTTCAAATTTCTGTTGGGGCTGAAGCTCACCCAAAGTGTAACTGGAGTAGGAATGGTCATACACATGGCAAAAGCTGGTGTCTGACTCGAGTTCCCCTTCTCAAAGTGGCTCATTAAAACCCACAAACACCCCAGTCCCTGCCATTCTATGGAACGCTGTGCTGCTCAGGAGTGTACAAAAAGGCCACAAATGAAATGAAATGAAATGAAATGAAATGAAATGAAATGAAATGAAATGAAATGAAATGAAATAAAATAAAACAAAATAAAATAAAATAAAACAAAGGTTTGCTTAATAAAGCAATGCCCTGAGAATGGCAGAAGCCTTGCCCTGTTATTCCTGTTTAATTTGGAGACTTGTTGCTAAACCACAGATTGGAAAGGACTTTGTGAGTAACCCTGTGAGCCATCATAGAGATTGAGGAGCTTACAGAGTCTGGGAAAAATTTTAATTATAGATCCAGGTGTAAACCTTTGAATGTGCCTAGACAAGCAGGGAATAAGCCTGGGAATGGGGCTTGGGCAGACTCTAGGAATGTGCACAACCCCATTGATGTGCCCAGATCCTCTGGACAAGCCCAGGCCTTTTCATCAGTGGTGTCCACACACTGAGAGGAGCAGAATGAATCCAGAGGGATGAAAATCACCTCCAGATCCAGCCACTAATGAGAAAGCTGCACATTTCCTACAGCCAGGGCAGCACTGGAAACCAGCTCCAATGCTGTTGGTATTTTGATGGCATTTTCAGACAGGGTAATCACCTTGCACTGGACTGGGCAAGAGGCTGGAGGAGGGTGTGGGTGTTGTTGATGTGTCCATATCAAGCCACTGCTTCCAGAAACTGCACAGTCACCATGACATTATTCTCAGTGTTTGGCACCAAGTGTGGATTTCAGCCGATGCCTGACAAAATGCTTAATTTATTTATATGCCATAGTTTTAGAATCTGCCAGATTTCTCTGCTGTCTGATGACTATTGGCTCTCACAGCTATTATCTTGAAAATTGGCAACATGCTCCTCCGCGTGGCATTTAAACTGAAAACCAGAAAAAAAGAGGACATAACTAAAAGCCTTCAAATTTTACCTCCTGTTTGTGCTATTAAAATCTACAGAATCACCAAATGATCAAAACAGAGCTTTGGACTTTCTGGAAATCACTTGGTCCAACTCCCTCTGTTCATAGCAGGGCCAGCTGCAAATATAGAGTCCATACACTGATGCTACATAGTTTAGATACTCTATGCCACTTTCCAACCGGTTTTTGGGATACTGGAAGAGCTTTGGCTCACCCGAAGCCCACATTTTCCCCTAACAGCATAAATGTGAGTATCCTTTAATGGACTTTCCCTGTCCCACAGCTGTCACCCCAGAAAAGTCTGCCAACCTCGTCCTGTCCTGGAGCAGGGAGGGCTGAGCCCAACTTAGTACAAAATCCTTTTTATAGGGCTTTTAATCAAGGCTAATTGATGTATTCATGGCAGACAGCCAGACACAGAGTTGGTGCACACCAGTAGTCTCAGACTGTGGGCCAAACAAGCTTGCATCTCTGAGAAGAAAATAACAAAGCAAATAACTTATCTGCTTTACAGAAAACAGATAAAAAGGTTTGTGTGAATACTGCCTCAGATTCCTAGTTCCACATGCCATAAGTCAGGGGGCCAATTAACATAATATAAGAAATAAATACAATTTATTCAGCATGGCCTGGTCAAGCCCTTTTCAAATGCTTCTGCTATTTGAGCATACAAAATCAATATGTGCCTTCTTGTCCCACTGTGCACTACAAGGTCAATTTTCTGCCTGACTAAATGCACCCTCAGTAAGGATGATTTCAGTTTGTCATTTGTTAGATATCACAGCACTGATCTTTGCACAGTATTCTTTATGCCAGTAAGAACATTCATGCTTCTCTGCCAGAAGAAATATGGACTTTTTGTCAACTTTAGCTCCATTCAGCACTTTGCTTTAAGAACATAGTTCATTTGGAAATGCACCATAGCATATTAAATCAAATAAAACATGTAGAGATTGTGTTATCCGATTGCACAAAAAAAAATTAAGGGAGAATTATAAAAAATACTCCCAGATGTGGAAATCTAGATGGATCAAACTTTTCCCCCTATAGCGTATTAAGAGTAATGTTAACAAGCCCATTCAAACCCTCCTCTGAAAGAAAATGAAAATTTGAAAACCATTAAAAAAAAAAAAATAAAAGGTATCACTTTGACACCACCTCGCTTAGGGAAAATGTATTTATTTTGAGAGACAATCTGTCCAATTCTGACATCCAAAAATATAGGATTGGGTTTTCTAAATGCTCAATGTCCAAGTAAAAAAACTGTAAATTTCTCACAATATATCCCTCTATGTCCAAATTCCATATTAAACCTTTGGCTTTTTTTTTTTTGTTTGTTTGTTTTCCCTTCCAGTTCAGGACATTTTTTCCCCCAAAATCCTCTAAGCTATTTCATGAGCACAATATCTGTTTTCTGACCCAGGCAATGATGACATCTGTGGAACAGTCTCAGTTACTTCCAGGGAACTGCTCTTGGCTTTGCAAAGCGTACATTATTTCTGCAGCTTTCAGCCCTCTGAAACTGTCCTGGGATTCAAAACACACATTAAAGTCTGATCTGATTATCAGATTCAACCTTCACACCTGTGCAACAGGGTTACTCTCCATGTGGTGGTAAATGAAGACTGAACTTGAGTCTAGCAATGAGCCCAAACTTTGGTGCAGAGCATCAAAACCCTACAGTTGTGCTACTTCTGCAGAACACAGAAAAGAAAAATGGACAAAGCTAAAGTTTGTCACTTCCAGAATCAGCTCTGCTCTAACCCCCGTGCCCTGGCAAAGACAGAAAAAATAAAAGATTTACAAATACAAATTTAGAAGAACTGAATCTTCACCACAACAATATTATTTTATCAGTAATTATCCTGAAGTGCTGTTCTATCTCTTATATGCAACATTACACAAAAAAAGCTATTAGAAGTACTCTAGTTCATTTGCTTTGGGAAGTGTTTACTTTTCTGTACACATTTTCTGGACACATTTTATTTCTGTTCCAAAGTCCAGAAAGATAAAATCCACTCGTGTGCAGGTAAAATGCTTTGGACACACAAAGCACAGGGTAGATGCTAAGGATGCTGTTCCCAGCATCTGGCAGGAACATCTGTACAGGTGTTGAGTTCTTACAAGAAAGGAAAGGAAAGCATGCAGCCAAGAGCTCCCTCCTCATGGTGTGTCACTGCTTGAGCACTGGCCTGGGTGGAAGTGACACCTGGGTGTCCTTATTGCACTTAATGACTACAGGTGGTTGCTTTCAGTCCAGCCTGAACTACAGGACTGTTAAACATGCTTTTTAACAGAGAAGGAAGGCCCCAGTCACTCATCACATCATGCACAACACGAGGGGACAGGAGACAAACTGCTGACAACTCCATGAAGCAACATGGAATGCTCCCAACATGGATTTTGGAGGCAAAGTCCTTCAGAATCACACCAGCCATAGCCAACCCCACAAACTGGGCATCCCCCAGCACACAGAGCCTAGGACAGCCCATCCACAGCCTGTGCCTGCAGGGTACCATCTCACCACTGCTTTGTGCAGGGTACAAGCTGTTCCACTGAACTTGCAATGGACAGTGCTGGAATATCAGAGTCAAAGCAGCACTAGAAGCAGACCTGGAGACACCGTATTTGTTTCATGAACTTGGTATTTTACACTATTTAGCCACTACACATTTGAAATGCTCAAGCTGCACTTGAACTGCAAAAGACATTCTGGGCCTGCCCAAATGGTTTTCAAGGTCAGACTAATCCTGTTAACACATTCTCTCATTGTAAGGTGGCACAAAGTTACACCTGACTTGCAAGATAAACCTAAACAGAGATCCCTTTGCATGCCATGCGGTTCTACCTAGAATTTTTATCAGTCATAGAGAAAGAAAACAAGTCTGTCACAAAGGCAGAGGAATGCCATTAAGGCTAAAGCTTTCTAACAAAACCAATCCCCATTATCCTGCTGTCTCTTTTACAGCATCACTTCATGGCAGGTTCATGTATTCCAGGAATTTTAACAAAGTCTGGCCCCCAGACTGAGCCTGTGTGGCTCAGCTATTCACCAGGCAGCCCTGGGCAGTGGCTGTGTGTCTGTCTTAACCAGCAGACAAAGTCAGGCAGGAACATTCAACACTTGACATCTTGGCACTTAAACTGCACCCACAAGGTGTGTGCAGACTCCTGCAGCAACCCTGTAACTCCCTAACCCCATAACCTCCCCCTTCTTTCAGAGTCTCAGGGTGGGACTTAGCACAGGAATGGAAGTTCCTGTTGTTGTGCAGGTGCAGGTTGTTCTTGCAGCCCAAACCATGCTGCAGAGTCATGGATTTGCACTTGTGTCAGAACAGCAGCTGCAAAGTACAGCTGAAAATTTTGACAGAGGCAACTGTAGCTGTGGAGAACTAAAATGAGCAGGTGGGATGATCACCAGGCTTTGGGAAGAGCTGTCCCCTACTGTGGCTTTTTGTTCTTTTCAGGTTTTTGGGGGGGTTTTTTGGGTTTTTTTTTTGGCATCTCTAATTTCCTAAAGAAAGGGGCAGAAATGGGACAGAAAAAACTATCATCTCTCAAAAATCCTCCACAAATTGACACTACAGAAGCAATGATTTCTCTGTCTTTCTTCCGAGCTTTTGTAGCTCTATGGGTTTGGATTTCATGGTTGAAGATCTGTTCACCCTAAGATGTAGATTCCTAATTGCCACTAGTGATGGTTTGTTTGGGTTTTAGGGATTTTGTTAGGTTTTTAGGAAGTGATTTTGTTCAGTCCATTTTTCTAATGTTAAAAAATGGATCTAATACTGGTGTGTGTTTTGAATGCTCACTAATTATAATCATGTATTTGATCTACCTGAATCGTAGTGATGCCTTGTGGTACATACATGTTTTACTCCAGGCACTTTTGAAAACACAGGATCTTGATACAAGAGGTCATTTAAGCCAGAGCCAGAGGGAATCCTTCTCTGAAGGAGCCACTGTGCTCTGCTGGGCTGGCCTCAAACCACACCAGGTAACATCTCTGAGGCTGCAATGGCAATTTCTGCTAAGCATCTTGTGTACCTGCATTCAAACCAGTGCAAACTGAGAGGCAAAAACCCTCACCACACTCAGGGGCAGAGTCCAAAAGTCCAGCTCCAAACTCAAGATCAAACAAGAACCAGTGCAAAGCTTGCCCTGCTGCAGCCCTGCAAAGCCAGCAGCTTCAGCCCAGGAGGTGGAGAGGGGGGTCTGAGCACAGCCCAATGCTGGGAGATGCCAATGGGAGTCAGCTAAGAGGAAGGACAGAGCCTGACACCAACCTGAAGGACTCAGTATGTGTGGGACCTGTGGGCAGTGCAAGTCTGCTCCTGAATCGTGCCCCCTCCAAGCACTGAAACCCTCCACGAGCCCACGGCACGAGCAGCACTCCAGCAGGGCTCCATCCCCCCAGCACCACCACCACTCTCCCACCCACACATTATCATCCAAGCACCTTGGACTAAAGAGAATTACATCCTGACCAGTTATTTTCTCTCTTTCTAAAAGCAGCTGCAGACTGATAAATGTCCTCGTGAAAGAGAATGGAGGGGGATTTACTGCAACCTTTTAACTTCAGGCGTTCAAACCTGCTCATGTGGTTTCCCAAGAAGCTGAACTACGAGTGTTCTCTCCCTTGCTCAGACCTCACACTAAGTTTTTCTGCCAGGGGCAATAGGGGGGACAGTGGGAGAACAACCTCAACCCCACAAAAATGGGACATGCTGATGAAGATACTGACAGAACTGGACATCACCACTGAGTGCTGCAAAGAGAATTTACATAATGTTACTCTAACAGTTCAGTAAAAATGGCATCAGTAAAAGGAGGCTTTCAAGAAAGAAGTTACCCCCAAACACTCAGGGAGTGCAACTGAGTTTCTGTTAGTTTCATTTTGTTACATAAATCACCATTGTTATTATTCTTATAATTATTATTTCTTACGATGTTAAAAGAGCAGGAGGATACTTGAAATAAAAGGCTGTGCATGCACAATACCCACACAAATAAATTCCAGTGATCCATCCTAGCACCAGGCATGGTGCCCTTCCCTGCCCACTGAGCTGAGCCCTCCCTTTAGGAGTAGGGGAATTCATCACCAAATATACAGTATATTGTCATGGAATGATACCAGGAAACAATACTAACAGGAGTCTGAACGTGTCCTTCACGTCATATTAATCTACTGTTTAACTCTGTCTTTTCTGTCAGCAGAAAAGACAGTAGGAGGAAATAAAAGCTCAATTCACCCAGCCTGAGATCAAAACTGTCATGGCAATATTGGCAGGTTAGACCCTGATTCTTTAAATAGTACATTGCCTTTGTTAAACAAAAGTCATTCTTTTATTACATAATAGGATTATAAATAAATGTAAAGTGTGCATGCAGTCAACTGCATATTATACAAGCAATATCTATGTTAATAATTGCTTTCTTTGGCAGGCCAGAATCCAGCTGGACATGCAATATTTACATATCAAAATCCTTGGTGTCTTCAAGTCATATTGGATGCAAGTGAAAATATATATGTATATATATTTACCGTATACACACACATTTTTATATATATATATATATATGTATAAAGGTATATATACACCTCTGCATATATACTGTATACATATATACACATAGGTATATGCTAAAAGTGGATTTCATCTTTTTCAGATTCAGGTGATGCAGGCCTTGAAACACTAAAAATATCCTGACAGGGTATCTGGGGAGGGGACTGGGGTGATAAATGAGACTTGGGGGAAGAGAGCTGGGATACGTTCTTTTCGGACAATATTTTTAAAATTTCTGCCACCTGCTTCTCAAGGGCAGCCATCCTACTGCTTAGCAGCTGGATATCTTCTTTGAGTTCGTGCTTGACTTCCTGCAGCGTGGTTTGTAAGGCCTGCTCAGGAATGGGGTAGAAAGGACACCTAGCATCCGCCTGGATGGGGCTGTGCTCCAGGGGGCTGCGAGTCTCACCAGCTTTATCCAAGCGAAGGTCACTTTTTGTTATTCCACTGTCACAAGAGTCTGTTTTCCTCAGTGGGTTTTTATTTACACCGTTCTCTGAGTCATTGGACTTGGGGTCGTCGGACAGCAACCCCATGGACTCGGCCTTTGTGACGTTGTTCCAGTCCTCCTTCTTCTCCTCGTGGGTGCCCATGGTGTTCTTCAGCCGAAGCCAGCCTTTCCCGTTCCCGTTCTTCATCCGCATGGGGCTGTTCACTTTGAGGCATTTCTGGTCTCCGTTGCCGTTGGGCTTGAGCTCCATCACGTCGCGGTTGTTCTGCTTCACGGCCTCGCTGCTTTTCATGTAGGCCAGGGTGGTCTGGATGGGTGTGATCTGGGACACGGTGACCACGCTGGTGCCCGTGATGGAGGCGCCGTTCTGCACGCTCCTGCTTTCCACCTGCAGCTGGTTCCGCTCGGGGTCGACGTGGGTCGAGCCTTGATTGCGCATCTCCTTTTGCTGCTTGAATTTCTGGAAGAGTTTCCGCACAGGGTGGTCCACGGGGATGCTCAGCGTCACCTCGTTCTTCTGGCGCAGGCGCTCCTCTTCCTCCTTCTTGACATCGCTGATCTTCCTGAAGATGATCTGTGGGGGATAAATCCACAACAGAGTCAGGACCCAAAGGACATCGCATGAAAGTATTTATTTGAGATGGGTAAAAAGTCTTGAGAACAGCCATTTCTCTCTGTATTCTTAATTCTGATGTTCCTTTCCATCTTAATTTTTTGTAGTGAATTCAAATGGAGCTGATCAAGACACAGCAACCTCAGGGTTAATAGGTTATGCACACATACATACACACACTTTCTTAACAGGATACATTAAAAGTAGGTTTCATCTTTTTTCTTGATGCAGAAGATATTACTACTTGAAGAACTAAAAATACCCTGACACCAAGAGAAGGAAAGAAACTGAACAAAGAGAAGAAAGCCGTTGACAAAGAACCCAAATACTGTGATGCCAACCTACCCATTACTCACACTCATACCTGCTCCGTCACTATCTTTAGTACAGATCAAAAGGAAGAAGTAATTCAGCAGGGACTACACAGCTGCAAGATAAATTCAATGTACACACCCTTCTAGAGGCTGGAAAATGCTCAATACTTTTTGGTTTTGCTGTTAGGGCTAGGGTTTTTTAGGAGCATTGGAAGATGAAATTAGGTTCCCCATGGGCCATATGTGTAGCTTCACACAGTTTGCAAGTGTTTATTGCAGAATTAGTATGTCTAATATGTGTAGGTGAACAGGAAGCACCACAGAGAAGCAGTGTGACAGGGCTGTGTGTGGCTCCAAAACCCAGCAATATCCACCATCTCAGCATGCCATGCCATTTAATGCTGAGTTATTTCACCTGGCAGCATGTCTCAGGCTGCTACAGAAAACAGAATTTGAGCCTCACGCTGGGGGAGGATCCACTGAGCAAAAACTTTTTGTTGATTTTCTGCATGTTACTCATATGATTTTATTTTTTTTAGGTTCATCCAGTTTTCTTGAATGTGGGACTGAGGCAGTGTGGGGAAGCTGGTTCTCTGTTTGACAACAGTGTGAAAAGCAGTCTATGATTAAATACAAATGTGGACTGTGAAGGGATTGTGTGGTAAGAAAAGGAAAACAAAGCCCTTGAAACACACAAATAAAACCCTGTGTCACTCAGCTGTAGGTTTTTGAAATATCAACCTGAGTATCCATATTTGAGTTTCTATTTACTTTCAAGTCTCACATCTTCAGAAGTCAGCAGAGAAGTGCCAAGATAGCTACAGATCCTTCACTGCATGAATCTGGAATGAGCTGGACTTCAAAGCTTCATTAGAGAGCTTTCAAATGCAGCAGATACATCCTTGCCTGCTGCTGATAGATGCAGCTGCTTATAATAATTTGATTAACTTGCTTATTAGAAGCCCAGTTCAAAATATATAAACAAAACCAAGGGACAACCATGTTAGTTACTTTAACCTAACTACTCTGACCTAGATGCAGCGACATATTCCCTCATTTGGGGGCTCCTCTTTATTAGCAGCTGCCCTCATGGAGCTTCTCCCTCTCTCACCAGTGGGGAGAGCAAATAATGGCATGAGAAACTGCCCTTGATTCAAAATTGAGTGATTACATTTAATTGAAGCCACACTCTCTAAAGGCACATTTGGAAGATGGGTTGTGTGTGATGTTTTGTTTGTGCCTCTCTTGCCCTGGAGGGCAGCGCAGCACCTCTGGCAGAAGACACAACAGTGAAAGCAACCAGCTGCAAGGATGTGTCCCCAAGGTGTGTCTCAGGGGACGTGGCTGGCTCTTCTGCTGGTGTCCCCACTTGGCTGTGCTGCTCTGTCTTGTGCTGAGTCCCTGAAAACATCTGCAGTGGGGGAAACATCCTCTACCCAATGCTTTAAAAGGTTGTGTAGGGACAGGACAAAGGGGAAATGGCTTTAAAATGAGAGTAGGTTTAGACTGGAAGCTAGGAAGAGATTATTTACTGTGAGGGTGGTGAGGCATTGGCACAGGCTGTGGCTGTGTCATCCCTGGCAGTGTTCCAGGCCAGGTTGGATGGGGCTCTGTGCAACCTGAGGGAGTGGAAGATGTCCCTGCCCATGGCAGGGAGTTGGAAATGGATGATCTTTAAAGTGTCTTCCAACTCAAACCATGCTATGTTTTCATGACTCCTCTGCTTTCTGGCCATAAATCTGTCTCCCAGCTTGAGCCCCCTGCTCTCCTGCAGCCAGCCTGTGCCTGGCAGCTGCTGTCCAGAGGTGGTGGGGGATGCTGGAAGGGTGGCAGCTCCAGCAGGCTGGCACAGGCCCACGGTGCTTCCCTGGCCAGTGTGGCATGGATGTGCCATTGGGAAAGGCAGGAGGCAACTCTGACAGCTTCTGTCCTGCTGCGTTATAACAACCAGAATGCCAACAACAAAAGACCACAGCAGCAGTTTTTGATTCTTCTCACAAATCTTGCACTTCACTGAAAATTACCCTCACCTCCCCTTTCTCCCCCTGTCCAATCTCGGTTCTTTTGTCCCTTTTCTAGACTCAGTTCAAACCTTCTCCAGATAGAGGTCATCTCTCCGCACAAAATAATTACCAGTGACTGCTGCTGCTGGGTTTGGCAGAAGAAAAGCCAAAACCTCTCTAATCTGACACCACCTGTACCTCATACTCCTGAAGTGTGTCCTTATAAAAGTCAGGAAATGACTGTGAAGTGTTTTGCCCCAGAACCACTTGGCCAGGTGTCATTTGGATGGGTTGAGCTCAGTGGCAGGGGGGTCTGAGCCTGAGTGCTGCTGTGCCTCAGAGCAAGGCAAACACTTTGGGAACAGCAAAAAGGGATGGGTGGCCAAGGTGGCAAACGCCATCAGATACACGATGCAAATCTGGTCTGGCTGTACGAGGCCAAGGGCCCACTAACCACTCACAGCCATGAGCTTTACCCCTCCTTTATGCCCATGCAGTGGAGAAGACACACACCCAAAGCCCTGCTGCCACCTCCTCAGAACATATTCTCTCAGCTTCTTGCAGGACACAAGCTGGCAGAGCTCTTCAATGAATTATTTCCCTTTTCTTCTCTTGGGACAGAAAATGCTCCAGCCTGGAATGGTTATGGGCAGCTCCTTTGAAGAAGCAGGTCTGCCAAATGCTGAATTAGTGCAGAAAATGCCCATGAACTCAGAAATCCAAGGGTTAGCTGAGAGTCAAGAATTCAGGACTGATCTACCTCAGTGGAGCCCTATTTCCAATGGAGCAAAGGTGGGATGATGCACAGCCTGGGCCTCTCCCCCCTTGGCCTTCTCATGTAACCTGTATGTGTTCACAGCTGTTTGTTATTTTCTTTTTCACTCTGAAATGCATAACCAAGCAGACCCTCACATCCCAACTGACCCTGTGGGATAATGGCACTTTGGATGGAGACTGAGGTCTTGGTCTTCACTCTCCCGCTGAACTACTCTGCCAAAGAAATCATTTCACCCCATGGACAGCTTCCCCTTCTTCTTTCCCCTCAACCAAGGAAGATGCACCCCTAGCACAGCAAGGACCTAGTTTTGGTCAGGAGTACTTGAGAACAGTAGAATATGTACAAGTAAAGGAAAAGAAAGATCCTACACAGAGAAACTGAGGGGAAAAAAAAACCAAGATGTGAATTCTAGCACTAACAGAGCAATAGTTATTTCTCATTAACAATTTTTTCCATATTAGGAGATTTTTTATGTGGCTGGATTTAATCCACTTCCAAAGTGGTTTAAACTAAACCAGAATAGTTAAAATGTGTTTACATTTACAAATGTTTACATGGAAACTTAATTCTATTAATGTGTAATAACTTCAACCAGCTTTTTTTTTTCTTTATAAATAAGAATAGAAAAACATCTGGTGCAATCTGACATTTCTCTGCAGATTGGGAGAGCATTATTTTGAAATCTTAAATTGGATGAGCTATTTAATTTGCCCTGAGCCTTCTAAGAGAAGTTGCACATAGGCCTGCCCAAATGTATGTCCCAGGAGCAGTCACAATCTTCAAAGAAGAAGCTGAATTAAGTGTGTATAGAGTTTACTTCAAGGAGTAAAGAGACACACTCCTGTCTCACACCAAGTTCTAAATACATTAATGTAACAGATATTAAGTGCAGGACTCCATTTCCTTTATGGATCAGGCTGTGAAAGATTGTTCCACGTGGCACAAATTTTGTCCCATGGGACCAGGCTCCTGTGTTTCTCTTGGTGTACTTATTTGGGGTAGAAGGGGCAACAGTGATGACATTAATTACTGAGCTGGCAAAGATGCAGTTAACTTTTAGCCAGCCATGTGGACTGAAATACTCAACCTCAGGCTGCTTTCCCTCCCTTCCATGCCAAGAGGTAACTCATGGGAGTGTGAACTCTGTCCCTTCCAAAGGGGGACCATAACACAGGTCCTGGCAATGGGTATGCCACTGCTGGAGCAGCTCCTGTGAGGTGCCAGCTCGTAAAACCAGCCCCAAAGCCAAGTGCAGATGAGAGCAGCAGCAATGAGGAGTCAGGGAGGCAGCTCAAAGCTGAGCCACACACACTGAATTAAAGAGTAAAGCTGTGGCCTTTTCAGGGGCTTTGAAATGCATCCCTTGTCTGCTGTCTTTTTTTGTAGCAGCACTGTGAAAATCATCCCTCCATGACCTTGCTCCATACAGGAGATCTACACAAAGATCTCTTAATAAGTGACTCCAAGGCATGTACGTGAAGGGATTACAGAACTGGTAAAAGTCTTGAAGAATTACAGTGAGTACATAAAAAGTGGCAGGTGTTTGAGCAGAGACCATCCTGCCCTGTGCCTGAACATCCCATGCTGCTGTTAGTGGTGTTACACCTGTGCCTGCTCCTCTCCACAGAAATCCACAGAAAAGGGACAGCCAGGGCTCCAAAGGGAGCACAGTTGTCATGGCAATGGATGCAGCGTGTGTGCACTGACTGGGAGGGGGAGAGGGGAGGAAGGAGGGAGAGCCACACAAAGCCATCAAAAAGCAAAGATTTTCACAGTGTGAAGACCCTGTCCTGGGAGAATTGGTTTGACTCAGCTCACTGGACATTTCTGCAGCAGAAACACCACACTTCAGTCCCCACAGATAAC